CTGCAGCCAGATGTTCAGCTGCAGCATCAAGCTTGAGGGAAGAGGGGGAAGGTGAGGCCAGCAGGGCTAGCCTGGGAAGGGCTGCTGCTCAGCTAAGACTTACGCTGCAGGCAGCGGGGGCTGAGCTGGGGTGTGGCATGTCTAAGAACATCAGGTTGCCCACCCCCGTGGATGGGACCCGAGACCTCCACACACAGGGTGTGTGCTGAGCTACATCTGGCCCACAGCAGCATTCTCTTCTAAACTGAGGACATTCGTGACATTCGTGACAGCCATGGTGGGCCTTACCAAGGAACAGCAGAGGAGGAGACATTCGTGACAGCCATGGTGGGCCTCACCAAGGAACAGCAGAGGAGGAGAGGGCCCAGTGACAATTCTGTTAGTAAATATAGAAAAGACACCGCCAGGGGATCCTGCCAAGAGCCTAACATTTCTTCTTCTTGGAAAGTTTCTCTCCCCGACATGTCCTGCTCCCTTTGATCCCATCCTCTCTGGACACGGGGTCCTGACAGTCCCTCTAACTCAGTGCCCATCCCCTCAGGACTCCAGGCTTCACGACAGTGTGTTGTCTCTCCTACTCACGACACTCTTAGTAACTTGTCCAGGATGTGAAGCTAGCAGATGTGCAATAAATATTTCTTTCTCTCTCTTTGTGATTACCTTTTCTCTCTTCTCCATTTATCTATCTATCTATCTATCTATCTATCTATCTATCTATCTATCTATCTATCTATCTATCTATCTATATCTCTCTTCCTATCTATCTATCTATATCTATATCTCTCTATCTCGCTATATCTATCTATCTATCTATCTATCTATCTATCTATCTATCTATCTATCTATCTATCTATCTATCTTTTTAGCAGTGCCCGGGATGGGACATGGGGCCTCAGACATATTAAACAGATCTCTGCCACTGAGCTCTATACCTAGCTCCAGATTATTTTGTGACTAAAATCTTTCTTGTATCAAATACAAAAGTCACATTGAAAGCATGATCAGAGAAGGGAGCCAGGGGAACATAATTTTCCCTCTGGTAGATCCCTGTAAGAGAAAGCCTGAGGCTAGCGAGCAGGGTTTCACCCAGGCCCTATCATGTGCTGGGTCTATTTCACGCTGGGCCTTGACTTCCTAATCTATGCAGGGTGGTAAAAAGACAAAAGTTCTTCTAAGCCCAGGATTCTGTGTTTGAAAAGGTAGTCTTTGCCTCGCTCTTCTTTCCCTGGCTTCCGTGTCTCAGAAATCCACAGTCCCTGGCAAACTGAAGGACAACATCTCATGATTTTAGCCTGAGAAATGGAAGCAGTCTCAATATATTTTGGCAGAGGAGGCATTTCTAGACATTCTGGAACTGGTTCTGGAGAAGGGATGGCTATTCTGTTGATGAACTGGGGATCTGGTTGCTTTCATGAAAAGCGGAAAGAGAGAAAGTGGGAGAGAAGCTGCCCTGCCCGCCGTCTCTTGGACTTGACCCTGTCCTTCCCTTCCCACACTTGCAGCCAGAGCTGTAGGCCCTTGCCAGGATCCTTCCCCCATGCCCATGTGCCCAGCTGTGCTCGGGGAGGTGCTGAGTGGGAGGACTTCTCTGAGGGCAAATTTCAGCCAGCTCCAAAGCCAGTAGACTACTCACCGGAGGTCTCTTCCAGACGAACTGGATGGGGAACTTCTGGCTATAAAAGAGAGAGGTCTCATCTGGCGGGAACTCGGGATCCAGATAAAGAACTTTCTTCTCCAGGCACTTCTTGTGGAGCTGCTCAAACGTCTTCTCCTTCACTCCGATAATTGGAAAATTGCGGCTGATGATGGCTGAATAGATACCACCTGGGTGTCCACCTCCGGCCTCGGTGGTCTTGCCTTGGGCCGGGTGAGGACCGGGCCCTGGGGACCTGGGCTCAGCCCCTGTCCTCGGGGCCACAGTTGCACTAATGACGGTCGGCATGGCAGGCAAGTTCGGAAGGAAGATGTTTGAAAGAAAACAAGACCCAGGCACCTTCAAGGAAAGGAAGCAATTACAAAGGCGGAAATTGAAGCGATCCTTCCGTCTGAGAGAAAAATGGCCACATTCTCTTCAGAATTTAAATCCTATCAGCAAGTTGGCTGGCTTATGACCAGCTTAAAGAGCTGAGCTGTGATCCCGGAGCCATAGGTGTTCCCGAGGAAGAGGCATTGAAAGATTTTTGAAGCAGTTTCTACCTGGGGGCTTCTACCAGCAGCATGCTTGCCAGAGGGAGAGAAAGAGAATGAGGCTTGGGTTTCAGTGGCCTGAAGAAGCTTAAGCCAGGAAAACTAAAAATAGACGTGAAGTGAGATGGTGAGCATGAAAGGCAGAGGCCAGTGTGCGGCTAGACCGAGGGGTAGAGAAGGACCTAGCTGCATATTTCGACATTGACACTAAGAACTCTTGGTGTCAAGAAATGAGAGTATCTGAGACAGGCGACCACCAGAGATCAGCAAAGCATGTTAGGAACTAGGCAGCCGTACAGGCTATGGAAGCAGTGGTCCCCGGGTGCACAGAAAGCAGGGTGTGAACAGCTAGCTGGAATCCAAGCCACGAGAGTTCTGGGGGCATATTCCGTGTGTTTTACAGAACATGATTTTTACTTTATAAAATGTTAGAATAGCAGAATGCCACTTAATATTAGAGTCAGTGTCTTTTCTAGAATGTTCTGGAATCAGCTTTCAGTTCAACTGAAATGTAGAAAATGCCACTCAGCAGAATTTTCAGCCAAGGAAATCCCTCTTTTTCTCGGGCACTGGACCTAGACACCTGCCTCTTCCTACCCCCAAACGCACACTGAGATCAAGTCTACTCCGCAGTGTGTATGCTAGCAGATTATTGTTTAGCCACACCACGTCAGCATCTAGACAGAAGCTGGGCATGGGTACTGAGCTAGGCTGGTGTCAAGGATGTCATGTCTAGACTGGGCTTCAAGGCTTGGAAATGAGAATGAGGGTGGCCGGGGCAGGGACCTGCTTGCCAAGCTTCCCCCTGGTTTTCACCCATGGTGGTTGCTCTCCACATCATAATGAGATGGATACATCTGTCTGGCCGAATAGAGGCTTGTCTCAGCTTGCAGCTGTGCCTATTCCTAAGTGACCAGCTTCACAGATCCAAGTTTAGAAGACACAGGAAAGGGTAGGAAGTGGCAGCTGAAATAGGGGGCACAGGGTAGGAGAGATGGATCAGTGACAAAGTACTGGCCAGACACATGAGAGGATCTGAGCTCCCCCGTGAAGTAGCATGTCTGTCATCTCAGCGCATCTACAGAGATGGGAAACACAGACAGAGGAGCCCTACCACAGGCCAGGCTGCCAGCCTATGCAGCATCAAACAACAAAAAGAGGTGGAAGGCATGGATGGGCCAACACCCCAGGTTGTCCTCTGTGTGCCAAGGTACATGTGTATATGTGCATGCCCACACTCACACACAAAAACATGTATACACACATACACCCCCCCACACACACACACACAAAGAAAGGGAGTATGATAGGCTTGTGAATCTTGGTACTGAAACTTGAAGGAACCCTATGTCTCCGTTACTGGAACCATCAGCTTATCTTCCTGTCCCTCCGAGAAAATGCCCGAGGCATCACTGCTCTTGAAGGAGACTAGAGGAGAGCAGTTTCTGAAGGCTGGCTGTCCAGGTTCAAAGGCTAGGTTGGCCACTCCGGGCTGCGAGTGTGTAACTTTAGTTGAGTTACCTCAACCTTTCCTCCTATGAGTCTTCTCTCACCTAAAACTGGTATGATGAGAGTCATTCCATAGTTCGGTTTGTGTAAGGATTAAACAAGTTAACTCATGTAATGCATTTAAAACTGTGTTAGGATGTCTTAAGCACTCAGCAAAGTGGTTAGAAAAGGTCTGAATTTAATATCACTTTGGGGTTAGGTTGGATTGAATGGCTATTCATTCATGGTATCAATTGGCTGTCCATCTCTACAACAAAATAAATGAGATGATTAACTTATATGGACAAAAACGTTTATTTTGGCTCACAGTTTTAGAGGTTCGTGCCCATATCAATTAGCTCCATTGTTTTGTGTGGTGATATTTTATTTGTATGTTAATAAATAAAGTTTGCCTGGACATCAGAGGTCATAGCCAGCTGTAAACAAAAGTCAGGCAGTGGTAGCACATGCCCTTAATCCAATCACATGGCAGGCAGAGTCCTTGTGTGTTCAAGGACACAGCCAAGCGTGGTGACACATGCCTTTAATTCCAGTACCAACCATAGAGACCTGGAGGTCTGTATAGACAGGCAGTGAGAGGAAGTGATGGCTGGGCTTAAAGCCAATGAGAGGGCATAACAGCAAGGCAAGAAAGGTTCAGGTTAGACAGGAAGAAGCTTGTTTGGTTCTCTTGGGAAGCTATGATGGGGTGGTGAGCTAAGGTTAGTTGGTGGCTCTCACTCATCTCTACAGCTTTCACCCCTGTATTTGGCTCTGTGTTTCTTATTTAATAAGACTGTTTAGAAATTTGTCTACAGTTTGGGGCCTGTAAAAAGGCCCATTGGAGAAACTTGTGGCAAAGGAAAAACATCTACCTCATGACCAGGAAGCAAATGAAGAGGAAAGCTGTGATAAAACACCATGACCAAAAGCAACTTACAGAAGAATTTATTTTGGCTTACATTCCATAGGGAGAGTCCATAATAGCAAAGGAGGCATTGGCAGCAGATGCTGGAGCAGGTGGCTGAGAGAAAGCTCACATCTCAACAGCACACAGGAAGCAGAGCAAACAAACAGGAACTGGAATGAGGCTATAGCTGATCAAAGCCCACCCTCTGTGACACACTTCTTCTAGTAAGGATGTACCTCCTCAAAGTTCCACACCCTCCCCAAACAGTGCCACCAATGGGGGACCAGGTGTTCAAACATATGGGCCTATGGGGGGCATTTTTCATTCAAAGTACCACAGTTTGAAATATATGAGATATGAGAGGAACATGACATGATCTTTTTTTTTTTTTTTTTTTTTTTTTTTAAGATTTATTTAATATGTATACAGTGTTATGCCTACATGTTTGCCTGCATCTCAGGACCTTTGGAAGAACAGCCAGTGCTCTTAACCGCTAAGCCATCTCTCCAGCCCCAAACATGACATGATCTTCAGGAACATACACTCCAGTAGGGAAATACACAGTCCTACTTACAATACTAAGGCACATCCCTGCGGATGCAAAGCAGGGCACAACTATTTGTGGGGCAGCATTTCAGAGAAGGGCAAAATCGCTGCCAGTGGGCACTGGGGGGTTGGGGTGACAGGTTAGAAGTCTTCATGGAAAAGTAGGATTTGGATTGGGTCTGGAGGGTGGTAAGATTGTGTTGGTGGAGGGCAAGGGAGGGTACTGTGGTTAAGGAAAGGGAGGCAGGTAGCTAAGTGGAAGAAATGTAGTGAGGCCCATCTGCTGAGGAACTGAGGGCCCCCCAATAGCTGCTGAAGCAGACAGCAGGGAGTCTTGGGGTCCCCAGAGCCAGAGGCTCTGATGCAAGGGCTGGGTTGCAATATTCAAGCCTGCGCCAGGCCGTATGGGAATCCAGTGCTAAGGGAAGCCAGTGACACTGAGCTGTCTTTATTTAAAATCTTTTGCTTAGCCTGGAGTTTTTTTTTTTGTATTCATTTTGATTTTTGAAGACAGTGTATTAAATATTACTTATTTTGATTATTGACTGTGTCTGAGACAAGGGCCTCTTACTTGTGTTATTATAGTCCCAAGCCTGTGCTCTATTTTTGAAGTTCGCTTGTGGGACATGGATATTTATTTCATTATTACTAATTATAGCTTATTCGAGTTATAAATATTCTTTGGTTAGTAGAGAGTACTTAGTAAAATATAATTAAAAGGAGTAAATCTGATTTGAAGACTGACTTGGTACTTTGGAGTCTAAGTCTAAGAAAGGGACACGAACCCACCCTTGCACTCCTGACTCACTCTCTAGGGAGAGCTTTCCGAAGCCCGGCCCATGCAGTGTCTGCAGGAGAGGGCACCATTGGGCCTGTGCTGCTGTCGGGGAAGGCACCCTGAGAGTACCGGGCACTGCCATCTATCTGGAGGTTGGTTTGGGCAGCTCTGTGGCTGCACAGCCCGAGGCAAGCCCCGCAAATGGGCTCCTGAGTGGCTCCAGGTCAGGCTGCTCACGGAGCTCTATCAATGGCTCAGGGATTTGTGGATCTGTGGGAAGAGCACCGTGTGTACAGTGTGTCAGCAATACATCTTCAGATGTGAAATTTGAAATCTTCTTTTTGACTCTTTGAGACAAGGTCTTGTGATAGAGCTTAAGCTGGTCTTGAATTCATGATCCTTCTGCCTTAGCTTCCTGAGTGCCGTGATTACAGGAGTGGACCACTGCACCTGAAATCTTCAAATCTGAAATCTACTGGTCATCGCACACCAGAGAGAAGCACAATATCAGTTTTTCCAGGGAAGAAATTAGATGGCAGCCCAGATCTCACAGAAGGGTGGGTGGTCAGGAGGCTTCCACTCTCATCACCAGGGCACCGGCTCATCATCTGATATGGACCTCCCAGTCATCAACAACACTCAGGGAAAGCCTCTCCAGACTCAGGGCGGATGTTTTGTCGTAGTATGTAAAAGCTGCAGGCTGAACTTTACCATCTAAATAGCAAAACAATAAAAAGACACTGTGAGAAACCAGGAGAAAAAAACCCTTTTTCCCCTCCAAATCTGATTCGTTGTCTGGTGCTCTCAAACAATGCTACACCTCAGGTAGGAGAACCGGGTAGCACTTTTATTCATGACTTCCTGTGAATGTTTTAAAACGTGAAAAGTCTAATTGTTTGGAGTATGCTCCCGGTTGGAAAGAAACTATAAGGAACAGAGTGATCTGTCCAAGACATGCAGGAGGTGAGGGAGGGCACAATTCTACACCATCCCTCACGTTAGTCCTTTAAAACACTAAGAATCTCCAGAGCTGAAGATGCCTGTACCCTATTACAAATTAAGAAACACCTAGAATACTATTACAGGCCTTCAATAATGTCTCTTATGTTAACTGTGGGCAGAAAGACCAATTCATGGAGAGAAGCAGGTTAGCCCTGCTCACTCGGGAGACTAGAGAGCCAACCCAGAAAGGGCAGAGATTGCCTTAGCTGAGCATTGTTTGACAGTCTTGGAACAAACAATCTCTTCACAGCAGATACTTCTGTGTTTACAGGACAAATGCTGAAGTGAGAATGAACTGTCTGCTTACCAGATGAGTGGGTAGTCACAGAAGATGGCTTCTCCCTAAGGC